AAGTTTTCATTTGAAATAAGATTTCTCTCTGTTTGTTATAAAAAATCTTTCTAAACTGGGAATCTGACTACATCAAAGTTGCCATCAGTTGGTATTAACGTTGTTGCTCGCACAATTTTGGCCTTTTCATTGAAAATAGAAGAAATCTATTAAAACACAGTGACTACAACAGACGGTCCAGCGTGCCATCTGTTTTCCAATGCTCTTACGAGACGGTTCATTTTTTTCAGTGTTTCTGACGCATATGCTTGCCAAGGACGGTAATAAATTCCGAGCAAAGGTTAGATCTTACATCAGTACTTCCTGAGATATGGAAGACACTTTTGGGCCTTGCCCTTCTCTCCTCGACCACAGGAAAATATTATTTACTTTAAAGAAGATTTCAATCAAAGGGTTGTTGGCGTGTCACCTCCAAGCCAAGCCCCACTGTTGAGTTATTATAACTAGGCCTAAATGGTGTGAAAGGCAAAAACGAAAAGTGTGATTTTAGCTGTTTTTGTAACAAAGCATTGAATGCAGTCCCCCAGGGCTAACGCTGCACGTAAGTATATGTCAAAGGTAAGCCAATGTAATTATATCAAAGTTTACACAAACAATCCCATCTGCGATGGTATTTCCCCCTCTCTGTCCTACCCAGCCCCATCTATAACTTTTTAAAACTCACACTGGACGATTTAGTTTACACGGCAACGCACGGTCTGTTCTTTCGCATGCGCACAGCTCTTGCGCACAAATCTGCACCTACTAATTATGGCAGTATTTACCCACAATATTTTGCGACATCAGCATTTAATTTCCTACGCAAAGTTTTTATCAAAGAGATTAACTGTTAATATTGCCAAAAGTCCAAATCACGACATCCATTTCAGACGTCTTTACCTTAGCCAAATGTGTCTTGACTAAGGTTGTGTCCGAAACGGGCTTCCAGAGCTACGACTAGGTCTATTGTCTACGCGTCTCCACATATTTCCAATAGAGCGAGGACTTAGACCTAGCTCTCGACAACAGATTCGGATGCCGCCAAGGTGTCATCAACTTGTCTTTAAGGTTGCTGACCGACTACATTATGAATAAACAGTTCATCACCGGCTACCTTCAGACACACTTTCTGGGGCCGTGCGTCTCGACTCGACTGACCACTATTTTGGAAGACAATATTATATCCCTTGGTGCCAGCTGTAATTGATCAAACCCTTCTCTCTTTCACCGAAGGGGCCACTTTAAAAGAAGGGAGCGTTTCCGCCTGCAAGGTGTACATGCTGCACCGCTGAAGCCTTTGGGAGTTAACTGACTGCCGTTAAGCTAACGAATTCATGAACATATACATTCTTCCAGAGATACGGTCTGGGATCTAAAAAGGAAAAGGAACATTTAAAACACAATTTAAGTCTCAGGAATACATTTGTCATCGTTGTCAATACAGCCATCTCCCCAGGTGTGTATTTTCTCTAAATTGAAACAGAGTTCAGTTTCCGGACGGGGCATTTTAATTGATGCGTCAACTTTACGAGATATCCGGCTGTCAAAAACAATACTCCAAGGGGAGAAATCGCCATTTCATCGCACATTCTTACCGTACGACCAGTGATGTCCCCGAGTGCCGTTCGAAAATGCCCAGTAAAGTTCCCTGCCTAGTTCAACCGTAACAATGCGGATATGACTTGAGCGGATCTTGGCGAGTGGTCGTTGTTGCTGGCGGTTGCAGTTTATGGTCAAAATAAGTGTTTTATTAGCCATGTCCACCACAAACAAGAAAAGGAGGAAGTGGCAATTGTTCAGAAATCCCGTATGACCTATTGGAAGTCAAACATGATTACACTCCTTGAGAGACTAACACAAATTTGTGACTTGATTCTTGAGTGCAACACAATTCCTGGTGTCACATAAAAATACATTCATAGGAAAGCCAGAAAGAAAGGACAAAAAGAATAAATGGTCAAAAGGTAGCGCTTTACTAAATTCAAGGCACTGATGGTTGGCTCTGTAATCGAAAAATACAGAAACGCACAAACTGAGTTACTTTTTCACAAGCTTTTGTAATTCACCACAATTCCCACAAAGGACTAAATACGCGGAATACTTTTTCTCGATTGGCAAAGAAAACGTTTTAATTTTAGACTTAAATTTTGATTATTCCTCCATTTTTTATTGCCGTCAGTAAGGATGGAAACAGTATGAGGAAGATATCAGCTTCCGTAATGCGCCGAACTTGTTCTTCACAATCACATGAACAAACATTTTCAAATTTCGCTTGGGGTTTTCCCAGTTTCGATTCCAACAGATTATATTCTCTACCTTAGTGCAGCATCGATTCCTAAGGTAAACTGTTCGAGTCAGGATTACAAATTGTTCAAATTGTTGCAGTAGGCTTGCAGGACAAAAACCTCGTTATTCTGTAAGTTTACTCACACCAGGTCGTATATGCAAGATAGGAAGTACAAATTTCGTGGATACTTAATATGATGACTAGTGTTCTGTGGTGAATCTCCGGGGCAAAGCAAAGTCTGGGGGTCACAAGTCGAATTTGACATTTTTTGTTGAAACGAAGAAAAAAACTGGACAATTTCACCGCCTCCGGGTTCCTGTCCATTGCTTTGGTTGAACCTGTCTGCTCACCTGTAATATTAGGAATTAAAACTTGCTTACTGGCACTGCCTACATGTATGTTTTGTAGCAATTACGGAATCCCCCACGGGACAAAGGACAGTTCAGAATGTTGCAGCGAGCTAAATGTAGTAGTGTGGAAGCAGGCATTTTGCCAAACCGCTCATTTTTGTCTGAATCATGTAAGGCCTGGCAGCTGTTGCTGTGCTGTCGGGACTCAATTCCCACTTCGGCGCGTGCGCACCCGCTGTTGGCCGCCTATGGCCAGATCATAATAATTGGAGACTGATAATTGACGAGGCATACCCTGAGACTTCAAATCGGACATATCCTTAATTGGGTTAATTGCACTTCCCCTCAAGGGGTGCATAAAAGGACCTAAACAGTTTAGCATGATCCCCTCTTCACATAAACTTAGATGAAGAACATGTACATGAAGGTACACACAGACACAACTCATTGATGTTGGCAATTTATAGGGGCGTCCTCTTATAAATATATCTTTGACTCATTGAAACATCCAAAATATTTCACCCTCAGTAAGGTCAGTACACCGGAATATATCTCATTACTTTGCCCCCTACGACAAGTCATCTCTATGAACCAATCCACTAATACAGACATTTATACGACCTTTGCTGAGTGACAAGGACCATAATTTGTTTTTCGACTCAAGGCAATCTGCATAAAATAACTATGATTGTCTGCTTGGTCAAACATGTGTTTTTAACACTTCACGAGCCTTTACTTATCGATCAGGTCAATGAACTGGACAGTCCTTATTTTTGTATTTTCACTTGAGATGTCCTCTATTATCATTTGGAAAAAGTATTCTTTGAGACTTGAACATTTCGTATGCGAAATGAAATCTATTCTCAAGAGGTTCCTGATTAGAAAGAATTTGATCGTACAGCCCAGAGGTTTACATTATATCTTTTCACGCTGTGGGTTGCGTTTATGCGATGGCCTAGAAAGCAGGTCAGTCAATCTGAAACTGAACTAGGGCCTCTGGCAGTGAAAACCCAAGGTCGGTACCAAAATTAAGAAAATTGGAGATACTCCACATCTCGGTTCTCTATCTTCATGACCAATACGGGCGATTCACAATAGTGCGCCTCCACGAGTGACTGGCCAACGCGATGCAAACTCCTAGAGTCGCTCTATTGGGAATCGCACGTATTCAAGATCACTGCGCACTCAGAATGGCCCCACCCCGCTTGCCTTACCTGGCTCTACTCTGCCTTCGTCGCCCATTTAAGGCAAGAGCAATGTACAATCTTGAGCACAAAATAACGTACTGTTACTGTTTCGGAGAATTGACATGATGCGGCTTCCTTAGTGTCTGGTATCTTGGATTGGTCTTTAGTACGTGTACAACATGGCTGCTAATTAATGACTGCGTAATTGCTCTGAGAACAGACATGGCGATTGAAACTACGAATTGAATAAAAGTACTTTGGATCAGGGTTAAACGCGCCTTGAATTTGTAGGTACCTCTGACCGAATCGCGTGTTACATCACTTGCCATTGAGAAGTATTCGCTCAGATGCAAGACGTACCAGAGCGGCGTCGGTGTCAGTTGAAATTGGTTGAGTTGTTCATTTTTGGCTGGTGTCAGCGACGTGATGTGTGACAGAGGTCCCGTGAATTACAGCACGTGGAAATGCACGTTTCCTGCCTGGCAGACTGAGTAAGACCAGGACTGGATACGTGACAGTGCAATTGGGAATTGCAGTCAAATCGCCATATATGAAAATTACATGTGGAGCTTCACATTGTCATTGATTACAAAACCACGAGACCAAAGTAACTTTACAGTAATTTTTTGTCTCCAGTTTTAACACATCAACAACTGTTAAAAGATGAAACTTCGAAAATGGTATTGTTTATCAATTAACTGTATATCGGTTGCACTCAAACAAGGAGGTTTCGTTTCCTTTGTGGACAACTTGGCTCGATAAAATACATTTTTGTCCATCGTTTCACTAGTTTTAGCATTATTATCATCAGACTTTTGCTTTGAGTCACTTTGCAAGATGTACGTGCCTTAGTCACTTTATTTGCAAGATTTACGTGACGGGGGCTTACATGTTTGCCACCGAGATAACCATGATACATGTAGCAACTTTATTCAGCGAGAATTAGCTTGCACCCTCTACTCGCTGATAAACAAGTTCCGCTAGTAAGAAAGTAATTGGCAAAACAGGGTATGAAAAGGAAAATAAACGCTACTAGGGCCTTTTTTATTTTTTGATTTTGCACTTCATAGTCGTTCATGCAAAAGCCGCAACCATATGTTTTCTAAAGCGATAGAAGGGTTTACTGGAAGCGCGCCACCTTCCCTGAAGCGAAACGCTGAAACGTTGTTTCCTTTTCATTTTATCTCATTGGATTAGATCCGACGAAAAAGTAAAGCTTTCAACGCCAACTTACAGGAAGGAGACGAAGTGTTAAGTGTCAACGGCAGGAACGTTCGCAATGGGGCATGTGACATCGCCATGGGTTACGTAGATGCCGCTGTGGATACGCTAGACCTAGAACTTGTGAGGTATAACTTGAGAGATCGAGTGCCAGACAATTCCTATTCTTTAATTCTATCAACCAATGAGCCAATTCGGAATACGGACGTTTCACAATAGTGAGCCACCACGAGATTGCAACGCGCTGACCAATCACAATGTGCAAAATTTGTCGACCCAATGCGCGTTCAGAAATGGTCGACAAATTTCGCGCACTGTGATTGGCCAACGCGTTGCAAACTCATGGTGGCGCACTTTTGTGAATTGCCCGTATCCCAACAGCGTATGACGCACATGAAGCGCATCCGAGGTCCTTTGGACGCGCATGCCAAGTCCGCCCTATCGGCGCGGCCCGCGCCGGGGCGGCCTATAGCGTGCGTGTCATGTTCCTGAATGGCTTTCCTTTTTTGGATTAACGAACTGGCTTATTCTAGAACTAGGGTGCCTCTGCTAAATGAACACAAATTCTTTTGATATGTGCAAAGCAGAAAAAGATCCAAATTGCAATTACTCGACGAATACTCGGTCGTTTCTGTATTAATTTGTGGAAGTGTGAACAGTTAACTGTATATATTTTTAGACTTTTTAATAACTTGACAAAGTCACGTAGAGTTTATTTATATGTAACATTTTTTCAATACTCCACACTCCCTCCCTTTTTCAGGCTGTCATTCGTTTCCTTGAGAACTAAAAGGATGCAGAATTGCAGAATGATCCATAATTTTGTGAGATAAAACTACAAAACTTTTTTTTCTCAAATTTCAATACTGTAGACGTGGATCTGGTGCCCCTACCATGCCGATCAACGCTTCATCCACAGAACACATGAATGGTAACACAGAGATACGACGGGTACCAACCTACCAGATTACAACTTCGCAAAAGCCAAGGCAACCAGGTACAACCAGCGATTTGTTCCAATAACTCTTTACATAGAGACAAAGTTTCTCAAACTTATTTTCACAACTCTCTTGGGAAGTGTCATTCGCCATATTATGATGACACCCCTACATCCCCGCCAGTGGGGGCGCTGTGGTCAACCGAAATCGTGAATATTCACTCACCATGGAAAGCTTCACGGTAACCATGATACCACTCCGTAACTCTGTGTCGTGTGCCTTAATTATTCCCCGTGCTGAGGCAACATTCACAACTGTGCGATATTCACAAGTAAGTGACATTCACATCTGGCCTTTTTATTTCATTTAAGGACACGCCGGCCACAAGCAGACATCTACGACTACGCATGTGCAAACTAGAACAGATGGAGGTGTGAGGGAAGAGACGATCACTAAGACAATCACAGAACGCATCGGGGAGGAAGCGAAGACCACGACCAAACGGGATGTCAAGACGTACGGTGCTCCGCAGGATACAACCGACAGCACAGGTGAAGACGAGTGTGCTTATTACACTTTGATTGCATTCGCATGGGGTCTGAGCTAAAAGGACGTCTCTCTAAACATTTGAAACGAAAATGTCACATCTACATGTAATTATATCTGCCGCCTCGTGTGAAGCACAAAGCAGAACAAATCGAGTCCCCTTCGGAGAAATGCAATCTAAAGTTTAAATAAATTCAAGTTGTAGGTCAAATTAGATTAACGCCTTGCAGTCGCGTCCATGTGACGTCCAATTGCTCCATAACGTTTGCTTTGAAACCTACTTAAGAGGCATCCGCGACTGACATTACGAAAATGCCCTTGAATGGAAAAATGTAATTCCATTAGAAATTCCATCGTGCAGGGAGGGGATTTCCTATCACTGTTCCCATATCTGTATCTAAATTATGAACCTGATGATCGCTATTAATTGCTGATAACTAGACACCAACTACCACCTGAGTCCAGTGATTATTGTAAATGAATTTCACACTCTTTCTAGGAACGGGCAGGCAAGGACGAGGTAGCGCTGTCACATTTCACGCTCCTAAGATCAACGTGGCGGCCAAACCAGAGATCTGGTCGCCACCTGGAAAATCGCAACCTGTCAAGAAACCCACATTAGCATATTCCAGCAGCGCACCGGCGCATGCCACCACAGCGCATGTGCAGTACACTGGAAGCGTGCCGACGGGGTCGGCACCGAAGCCCAAGACACCTTTTCTGGAGAGCAAACAGGAACAGAATGTGCCGACAAAGCCCATGCGCTGGGAGCCGCAGATCCATTACTCGACCACGCCCAAGATGGAGTCTGAAGCTCCCTCAACCACGACCTGGAGTGGCTCCGTCAGCGGACCAAGACGGACATCAGTCGGTCAGGAGGTCACCATCACTTTTGCTCCTCAAGGGTTTATGGCTAAGAGGCCTTCCGTCGACATTGGGAAACCACCGTCTTTTATCGCTCCAGTTGTGGAAGAGCCAGTTTCTGCCTCTACCACAGTCGAAGTCGAAAAAAAGCCAGTTTACAAGGAGGAGCCAACAGTCATCCTGAGACGTGCAGCACCACCTCCAGACAGACCAGACAGCAAAAGCACAATCGATGAAACAGACAAATCAGAAAGTAAGTTCAAAACAAGTACCAAAATTAACTTCAATTTAATAAATGGAAGTTTTCAAGCCGCAGATCTGAATTTCCGAATTAACAATTCGTCAAAAGATCATTCTCCATTTTCAGAGGAATGATGAGAGCTAGCCTTTGGGGTATATTGGCTTTGGTACAGGTGTATCGCAAATGCATAGGCATGCCAACAAATTTGCAAGATTTAATTTAACAGATTCGTCATATTTATAAGGAAATTTAATATCACTTTATCAAATGATTCAAAGGAGATGCTACTTTTTTGTTACTGTTTCAGTTAAGAGGCCTTATTCGTATCCGGGAAAACACTCAGAGGACGATCCAGAGATCACTACAGAGATGAGGATGAAGGCATGCAAGACCATAGCTGACCTACTTATGTTCCCCGCCGACAAACACGCCAAGGGAGCCCGGATGTTTGCCAAGCGGCGTAAGCGAAGTGAGCGGTGGTCGGTCGAGGGTATGGGTCAAAATGTCGAAGAGGAGAAAGACGGGGAGGAGGAAGAGGAGGCTATGGACAGAGGCGTGGAGATTACCCTGGTTGCATCTGGGAGGAAGCCGTTACCGCCAGGCGCTGTGCCGATCGGGATGCCCCTCCCTCCACCACCACCACCACCTGAACCAGGCAAGCCTTTTATACCACAAGCGCCCCCACCCCCTCCACCGGGCACTAAGTACAGACTCAAAGTGGAGCCGACAAACTTCAAGGTCAACCTGAAAAAGAAGGATGTCTGTGAGCACAACATCGTCAGCCCCGAGCAGATGGGCCGCCTGGTCGTAGACTTGAAGGCTGCCAGCGGCCGAGGAGCTAACATGTTCGAGAGGCGCCGCCAAAGATCAGATCAATACGTCATCGATGAGAGCAACGTCAAAGCTCCCCCGGTCATGAAAAATACCGCTAAGCCAAAAGGAATCGCCTCAGCCAGTATTACCATGAAACAGGACAACCAAATACACTTCCCAAAGAAATCCCCTTGGGAAGCAGCAATGGAATCGCCTGTAGGTAGTTGCGATGCCGCTTTTGAACATATTCAGAAGAAGAGACCATCTCTTACGCAGGTAGACAGTTCAATGAAAGGGCCTCCTCCACAAACCAAACCAAAACCGCAGGCATCACGAATGGGCCACGACACGCTGTCAAAAGCTCACTCTGACCCAGCCCAAATCAGGCCAAGGTTTACAGCCAACGATCCCAATTCTGCCGTACAGCTCCCGACAGGATCTGGCTCTCCGAGTTTCAAACCTAAATTCAGCGCCAGAATGGTATCATCCGAGACTTCGCAAAGTGGCATCACGAAGTCGAACGACTTCAATCCTAAGCCTCGCGGCTGGAACTCCCCAGTGCATTCGGGCGAGACGCCCCTTGCGTCAATGAACTCGGCCGATGATGGACAAACTACGACATTCTCCGCCATAAGGCCGACCAGAGTCGGTTCAGACTATAATCGGAAGCCTCGCGGATGGACAGCCACCGGTGATGCAACCGCAAATGCTGCCGCCAACGGCAGACCGGCAAGTTACAATTATTCTAAGCCCGCTAGATTCGCTGTACATACGGGACGCGAAACTGCCGACCTATGATTGGCTGAGGAGCATCAAATAAGAGCATGCCAATGTTTTTTTCTTGAATATTACTGCTGTGATTGTGAGTAAGTTTTTGGCCGTTTACACATCCCCTTTTATTATAAGCACCTTGTTCATTTTAAACTATGTAATCGAAATATTAACTTTTAATTAATGAAAATGAAATCAGGCTACGACATGAGATCAGACGTCAATAAAAAGGATACTGAAACATGTTACCCACATTTTGATTCCTGATTTGTCAGATAAAACTGATCATGTATAGGGCACGCAGTTTTTGGAAATTATAGCAATAGCAAATACGAATGCTTTTGTATTATTTAGCACCTATATTTAATCCTGTACAAAATGGTAAATTTGTTTTGTGAGTCCACTGTTTGCTTATCAGACCATCACTGAAAAGTAGAAATTGCTAATTTATAAAATAGAGATTGTTGAAAACTTGTGACCATATTTTGCACCATTATATGTTAGCTTGTACATTGCAATGCACAAAGTCAATCGATTAGCTTTGCTTGATATCAATATTTACATTCAGCCCAACGTGTAAAAACTGGTCAAATTCTCCCGTTTGCTGAAAATATTCAGAGACTGTAACATTTAAGGATTGTTTCTCTTGAAGTGGAAACACTATAGATTTTCTGATAGAACAGGTTATGTATATTTGCTCATGTAACCTTCTCTTCATATGCATACATGTATAAGATTATTTGTGTTGTCTGAGAGAAACAGCACACTGCATTCAACAGGGAAACAGACGTGTTGCGTTTCTGTTATACATTGACTATCAGATTCAAGGATTTTAGGGTTTGGTTTCTTCTTTTTATGAGTCAAGAAGTATTCATAGAGTTCTCAAAGAATAACTGGTATTTCAAGCTGTCTACAGAAAATTCCTCACTGAATTACCGCGAAGGAGGTTTTGATATTACGTCTATGAATACAAGTTCTTTTTTGATATTTAAAACATGCAGGAGGGCGCATAATGGTAAACAAAAGTAGGTTAAGGTGAATGGACAGGTGTTTTGGCGCCAAATGCAGATTCATGGGTTACATATTCATAAGTTATAGTTGAAGTCGAGTCTGAGGAGAGTTGTCAAAGATCATTAGGCAGAAATAGCACAACTTATTTTGCAGACTAGTTCTCGCAAACGTGAGAAAATGAAAATGGCGCATCGTGACGGAGATCTAGAATTAGTTGGGGCTTGCAGGAAGATAACATGGTAGGATAAAAATCGATGGAGATTCTTAAGTATAAAAGCAGAAAGATTTACTTAGTTCTTTTTGACGAGAAAGAACACTAAGTAGTTTGAGGCAATGATGACTACCGTAAGGATGACTGAGCATTGCGAGCAACTGCACCACAATGCTCCTGGATAATGACGGCCCACAAAATCATTTGGTGAAAAATTTCTTGGTCGCAATTTTGGAAAGGATAATTTCACTGCTGGTGCTAGCAACTGGTCGTGTCTGGAGATTTTGGTGATTACTGAGATAGCACAGTTTTGAGGCAGCAGAAGCCCGTGCAGCTATCGGACGTTTCAGGATGCAAAATCCCAAACGTGATTCTGTAATTTGGCGCAAGAGGACAAAAGTAACATGTCGAAGTAGTAAAAGGGTCGCCATTAAAGATACCATCTTTGATTTAAATTACAACTTGTAAAGTTTTATTAAGAGAAAGACCTTTCAGGGACATCACACGCTGGGCTTCCTGGACTGGTAAACAGTAATGCATTTCAGGTTTATTTGTTAAAGTGTAAAGTTGGTTTTAAAGGAGATGGTACTATTTTCATTGACAAAGCGGTATCAAATTACCACAGTCGTTGGTTAGTTCAAGTAAAATTTGGTCAACGTAGCGAGAGTTTTCATAGAGAGTATAGGTGGTTGACGTTCTGACCAACAGGGGTCAAAATTCCACGTTTTGAGCAAAGGTTTGCCGTATGTTTAGTAGAGTGTGGTTCTCCATAATTTTGAATGATCCGCATGTCGAAACAGCCGTTTAACCAGAAAGCTTCACAAGTGAAACATGAGACTATAGCTTAATTGACGGTCGGAGTGTAAAAAATATAATTCCCCAAACTAAAAAGGATAATTTTCCACTTTAATTTAATATTTAAAAAGTACATACTAAATAGAAGTGAACAAAGAAAAGCAATTTCAATTCGCTTTAAAAGAAAACACTCAAATGTGCTGTTGATCTTTTTGCAGTCTTCGGGTTTGGAATACTGAATTACCAGCATGTCATTTTGAAATGAAGATTGTCGAGTTTTAAGTGATTTTGTCGAAATTTCTTTGAACACGACTGTTTTAGTATTTAAGTGTGTAATTAGTGTGAGATAGGGCCGCATTGGAAGTTGTGCAGTTATGGGGTTGTATTTCTGCTGAAACAACTGATGTTTAGAGAGTAAATAAACGATGACTCGAAAGAGACAAAAGGACTAGAAAGAACTCAAATCCTTTCAGAATTAAGTTAATGTTTGAAGCTTTAGTTGGCATTTATGTCAAAAAAGAGAGGCTGGTATTTTTAGTTAATAGCAAAACAATTTAAGCATTATTTCATATTCATGCATTAATCAAATATTCATTCAACACCGGGCAGTTTGTCTCAACTGCTCAATTGGATTTGTGATACTAAATCTGTCCATTATTCCTTTAAAACATACATTCGGTCAAAAGTTAACATCGATTTGATATATAATTTCGTTGTTAATCTGTATTTTGCTTTCTTCTGAGCAGAATTTAAACCCTTAAATGCTGGACGACTGCACTGATTTTTTGTCAGTGTTCATTCTCATCTATTTCATCTCTCCTAGAAGTAGGGCTTATCAGGGGCTCAAGGTTTCAGGACCTTCGTTTACCGATCAACCTACCAGTGCCCAAGGCGGGAGTGAACAAAGTATAAACCCATCTTCCGGAGGAGTCGCCTTTGCCCTTGCCATACCTACGTCACAAATATCACCGGCGTGAACAACACCGTCCCTCCCACAAGCTGGGTGATATGCGTCACCGATTTTTATCAGTAACCTTCGACGAATACCATCTCCAATTTAATACCTCACTAAAATGAAACACGATCTAACCTTCTCCCGTCCCAACTGCGCAAATCCTATTAGTTTGTTCTCGCCCGGCAGTGAATGGTAGACAGTTGAGGTATTCGGCCAAGGAGACATTTTGCGTCGCGAGAGGCGCTCCTTTTTGATATTCCCACGGAAATGTACTCTACATACTATTAGGCTCTGTTCACGCTCGATTTCTACGGTACAATAGAAACTAAACTTTGATAGGCAACAATGGATATTCCGTTAAACTTTGTTATTTATGACAAAGTGAGTTCAGATCTACCGTGTAGTTCCAGGCCCCAGCATTGTATCACTAAGAAAAGGGGAAACTTTGAGATTCTCACTGTCACTAATAGAAAGTGGCATCAGGTGTTTCTTTGTTACTAACAGTGTAATCGATTAACAGCCAGTGTTTACAATTTCTGACAGGCTGGTTACTCAGCTTGCTCTGTTTGCTTGCTCATGGTTACACTGTGATTGACTAAACAGCCACGTTTCGGGGTGAAGGCGCTGCAGGAATTTCCCGCGGAAAACCTGACAATCTTCGGTTCTTTACTGATCGGGCACTCGACTGCTCGGATGATGAACTCGGATACCGCTGGGACCGGAAAAAGTATTTTGACACACTGCCTCTGTTTTTGCGGTTTATGGATCTTATATCAGACTTACAAGTTACATGTACATGTATAGAATATATGTCTTATCTCGGTGTCAAATCTTTTGATTCGAAACAAGATCTTGCAGTACACCTTGAATGAACCAAGGTCAAAGGTAAGACAACATGAGAAACTTCCCCGATCACGGTACAGGGTTCAACTGAAATTCGACGATGAAAAAGAAACCTGGCAGATCTTATGGGGGAACACATTCAGAGTGGACACGAGGAAGGTGCGTTTCATTTTAACCGTCTGTCACAAAATCGCAAATAATGAACTTAGTTCTTAAGTTAGGTTTGCGTATAGAGTATTACACTAAGTTGATATTGTCGCACCACATACTTAAACATAGATATTACTCTCAACGCCTATTACACTTTGCTAAATGCAATGAAGTATTACACTGTGCAGATAAGGTGCAAGTAATGCTTTGAAAGCAACTGCATGTTCGATTTTTAGCTTAGTTTTAGCTTATTTCCAAACACAAATTACGATATTTGAAAAGTCATGATGCACAGTTTATTTCCTAAATTTCCATCGAGAAAATCGTCAGCATAATTAGGCCTATAAACAAAGAAGTACATAGAACAAAAATATGCACATTTATGACAGCGGATTCACAGGTTTGTTCCTGGTTGGGTGTATGATTCCTCGTAATGTTTGTTATTGTTTGCGGTGGTGGTGTGACCGATCTTGTACAAGTTGTAGGTCATCTGCGTCAGTGGTAGTCTCCGTTCTTTATTTGAGATGACGCAGTGTCGCTACCACATCAGACATCCGTTGGTGTCGCTCTAAAGCACCGCCAACAACTCAAAGCCAACCCATGCCCAAATTTGGAAACCCCGGCGCGCATATATTACTTAGCACCACCCAGAGCTCACCCGCTTGGTTGAACATACCCTGCATTCTGCTGCATACAACACCGACCAACCAAACTGCTGTCAAGATAGGACCAGACAGTTGAAGAGAAGTGCAGTGATAATCGTGGTGGCAAGAAACATTGGGGACCCGTCGGGGAGCCGTGGTCGAGAGGGTCTTCAAGGTTCGCCATTAGTCTTCGTCCGGCTACGACCGGACCAAGGTCCAGGGGTCAGATCACAATTTAAAGACAGGAATTTGATGAAAATAAGAGAGTGGATCTCATCATCTCTCCAAGAAAACGGTATACTATTCGGACAATAACCCCTACCAGTACCACGAAGACAAAGGTAAGTTAATTGCATTAGGCCTGATGTTAATATTTAGTCTTCTTTGATCAAAGGGGCGACACCTCCGTATAAATGTACAAAGTATGGTTCGCAAAGTCTACAGCCTGTCAGAGATCAAAACAGAGTTCCAAACCGCCACGTCTGTCGCGGATACTTTCGTATTCCCCGATGAACGAATACAATACGATGATAATTGATATGATTATGGAGCATATAAGCAGAAAGAAGAACGAATGCACTTTACAGGGAACACGAAATTGGTTATTAAGAGATGATTGCTCAAATAACCTCAGACAATTTAATGACATAAATCACACCACGAGTGAACTGAGGTACTTCTCACCTCTCAAATGGAACAAAAAAAGTAAGCTATTATTAAAACAATTAATTATTAGTGCTAATCCAATCTTAATAATTTAAAGACGAGGTAAAACCATTCTGAAAACGAATCGTGCGTGCCGACCACTGTGTTATTATAAATGCCATTGATGGTTATTATAAACACAACCCTGCAGTGTGTGCAACCAATGAAAGAATCCGTCTCACGGCTACATTTGCGACAAAATGATGTGATGTATCGAAATTGTTGTGTGAAATAGTTTGAATGTTTGTGTGGTGGAAGATGGTGATGGTTTGTGCTTGGAGCTATGGTGGTATGTGTGACAAATTTAAAGGCGAATGGTGGTCAAATTTTGTGCTGTATTCCTAAACCTAGCAAGGAAAATTTGCTCATGCGAAATCAGCAAGCATCACGCGACCCTGTTTGCCCCACTTTATTATTACAAATCCAGGTGGCATACACAGTGTACTCCAGTAACGTGTGCAGGCACGGAGAAACACTCTACCGTCTCGAGGAAAGGAAACGAAAACTAATTTTCCCTGAAGACCATGCTCCATTTACCACATTAGAGTCTGGGGCTCATATGCAAGTGACAGCCGGCAATATCCAATTGCGTGTAAAACGTATACTATTACTAAGCCGGTACAGCAGCCGCGCGGGTGATGCGGTCTCTCTTCTTCGATTATGAAAACAAGGGCATGGAAAGTGCGTTCATCGCCTCGCACTGCCAGACTGTTAAATTCAGAATAATATTAATTTCAGAAAGGCCCCCATGTGGTGTCTTCACGCGAGGGGTATACAGTTTCCCAAGGCTGTGTATGTCTTATGTCAACTTTATATACAAATCACCGAGCTATTATATGCGGGACATGTTCTAATAACAGGTGTGATGGGTGTGATATTCATATTGGCCTACAGACGAGTTTTGTGACACTGATTTGGTTCCATCATTAAACGCAGGAAGCTCGTGTTGTTAATGTAGAAAATTAAAGCGCAAAACAACTACACCCAACATACATTTCCATTTTTATCTTTGACATGGAATAGGCCTAGATTTTTTTCAGACACAGCTCCGCAAAACAAAACTTGATTCACGCAATAAATTACCGGGTCTGTACTTGTTCTTCCTTTGTTTCGCTTTTGCCCTGACCAATTAATCGTCATTGCAACATAAATATCAATGTTTCATCCTCAAAAGCGCATGGCCAATAAAACATCCACTGCATAACAGGCGACGACATTACACACTAAGACATAACACCGGCACTTTGCCGATTAGTCCTTTCTTTTCAGTTGACTGCAGACAGTGTGAATAATGAATATTCTGAGTCATGCCTTTATACTTTTAACAACAAAGAACACCACCGTACAACTACGGGTTTTCCTGATTATTCGTCACCAAGAAGGCATGTGACCTTACAAATCCAAGGTTAAGGCGGCGGTTTTTCCAGAGGTGAAGGCTTAAATGTTAAGAGGACCCAGGGGTGGGTCGTTGTCCGACAGTGTTAGAGACTTGTTGGTTGTAGTGGTCTGTGGTATGTGACAGAGCCTGAAGCTAAACTGATTTCATTCGCTCATAATTGGATATGGGTGAAAGTTGCTGTCTCGCTTGGTGTAGACATGTGTTTGAAAAACGCAAAGCAGTCTCTTCCTGGACAACTGAGAAATTTTTTGTGATGAACTTTGTTGGGTTGATGTCACGTTGCTTTCTGAATTGAACTGCTCGTTCGCTGATTTTCTCTCTGCATAACGTCAAACCTCATATGTTATTTACATCTTTAAGGGCATATAATCTATAACGACCCAACAAAGTACTTTTTGAGACGGCAGGGCGTCGAGGTTCCCAAACTACAAAAGGATTTTCACGTTCTGAACTTTCGGGAGTTCTTCAGGACTTGCAAAATATACTCGTACGCTCTGGAACACACTCAAAAAGGTTGTGGGAATTTTGAAATGAAATATTCAGAAGTTCTTCCCGCGCTGGAATCATACAAAGTAACATAACGTACACTACAACAACCCATCAACGGAGTATCAGAAATGTACTCCCTTTAACTGTAACCGTTTAAAAGGAAGTATGGAAAGAAAGGTGTTTTACCGGAATGAGATCAAATTTAGTAACGTTCGAAATGTCACTGAACTCATTCGTATGACAAGTTACAAATGCCACTTCCTACGATTACATTACCATGTGATTCCTGGGAAATTGTGAGTAAACAAAGTCTCACCTCGCCCACAGTTCTAAGGAGTTTCCTGTCAAAGTTCTAAACATTACTAGAAAGATTTTAGTTTTTAAAGGTGACGAAGAGTAAAGAATTTCACCTTTGATCCGAGTGGCTGTTTATCAACCGGCCTCGACAGGAAGTGCCGCAATGCATATACGAAAAGGAAATTGTATTCACATGCATACTGCCACAGAAGCAAATGATCACTCATGTTACTGTTCTTCAGTCTTTCATTCATCTGTGATGCTCAAAACAAAACAAGGACACATTTTCACAAAGCCTCAATTTTTACCCGTCCCCATCTGATCCTGGGAAAGACTTAAATATCAAAGAGATTCAAGGACTGAATAACAGACATTAATGTTAGTACTGCAGAAATAGCTGTACGTAATCGCTGTGTGGAGAATTCCGTTGCAAAGTAACGCTCCTGCTGTTACGGTATTTTGAAAATGGAAGATAATTACAAACTTGGCCAGCGAGGGTTGAAGAACCTGGTAGGTCACAAATTACTCCTCAGTCGTCAAATGCCTGCCTGAAATTGATTTACACAAACATATGATTATGAGGTATGGCTCAGTACGACTTTTGTACTTGGAACAGAGAGAAACAATGCGCAAACGGGCTCGATTAAAACAATAGGGGCGATTCACAATAGCAACGCGTTGGCCAATCACAGCGCGCGAAATTTGTCGACCCTTTCCAAACGCGCATTGGGTCGACAAATTTCGCGCATTATGATTGGTCAACGCATTGCAATTTCTTGATGGCGCACTATTGTGAAACGCCCGTATTGAAGGGCCGGCTGCTCGTTCAATTATACCATAGAGCTACAACCCACCAGCAAGAAATGAGACCGAGGGGTACCCCCCAACGTGTCCAATCCCGATACACATTCCAGACTANGATTCCTACGAGACAATGACCAACACAAAGCAGGGGGGGTTCTCTCCGTCTCATACCTTGCTGCATATGCGTTCGATGCATGACTCATCGCCGGATCTGGCCCCTGCCAAGGGAGACAGAAGCACTGATAAGTTCTGTGCGTAGGTTAAAAGTCAGTGATAATGTTTCGGTTGGGAGGAGGTTACTAGACCCAAGGGATAGGGGCCGGCGAAACGGATAATCTGTGGCTTGATAGAAATAATAGCGGCATGAGTAAAACACCAATGTTGGAAGTGGTGGTAATGGTTTTAAAAGAATGTTTTGAAAGACAAGACACAGTGACCACATAAAGAAGAGATAAAGAAAAAAGTGTGTAGGATTGGACGATTATCCTCATTTATATGGGTGGTGAACTCCAGCGTCCGTTTTCCAAACAGCGATGCACTTTTGCAAGTGATATTTGTTTCGTATTTTGCTGCAGGTGACAATGGAACAGTGCTGACAACACCTGCTCCGCCTTTCACAACAGGCCAAGATTAATTGAATCACACGTATCACTCCGGGCCACCTGATGTCCGAGCTGTATGTGGCCCCAGTACGCACAAGAGTACCACCCGGTAGAGCTACACGAGCTTACCTTGGAAGAACTGACGGGAACCCGCCCCACCCACAGGGGCACGTTGATGTACCTTAAGCAGAAGGGTATACCAGAAGACACAATACAGTTCAGAGACACCGGACCACAAAGGGGACACCTGAAGAAATTGGTCAAGGCCATCGAGCACGACTTTTACTCAGGTCCTGTGGCCAGACACCCAGAGGTTCAGCCACCGCTTGGGAGAGGGATACGATTGAGGGCCAGGGACGTTGGAGGACCGTCTCAGAGTCGAGGGTACAAGCCGAGTAGTAGGTCGATGGCGAGTCGCGAGCTGATGACAGGGAGGAGGGATGGTCGAGCGGCGGCGCTCTTCCAGCGGATGAAAGACAGGTCAGATCAATATGTTGTCGATGAGTCCACCGCGCCAGGACATTACCAACAGGGAAGTCCGTACAGCGAAGATCACGGGCAGAAGCTCTGGCAAAAGAGCCCATGGGAGGCAGCCGCTGAGGATCCTTTAGGTCTCCCAGATAGGGCCTTTGAGCAGCCTATACCAAAGCCCAAACCAAAGCCCAAACTACAGAATCCAGCCCCAGTGCAGAGACGAGGGCCACCTGGATACAGTCAGGTTGATTCTATCCGCCAGCACCAGCAAGCCCCTCGTCAGCCAGGAAGCAAGCCTGTCAAGATCGGCTGCACGTGGAAGTCAGAGGGTAACACCCTGAGCAAAATGAGGTTCCACCCTGGAGTCCGGCCCTACGAAATGAATTACAACCGGACTGCTCGGGGATGGAGCCAGGGTAACTTACAAGCCGACGACTACGAAGACGGTGAAAGATACAACCCGCGCCCCACATCCTGGAGCCACGAGGATGGATATTCTCCCCAGTACGGCCGTCAGAAGTCTGCTGAGGTTGCTCGGTCGAGACAGGTGGTGCAAAACGTAGTGGGACCGCGATCCTGGGCAGGCGAGAGCGATGACTTATAACACTCTTACCGTTTAGAAGTCCAATCGATTTAAACCTCTTTTTATCGCCACTGTTATGATCTTTGTGACGTCACTTTTTGGGGGGGGATTACTATCTTTTGACTGTAGCAATTTTTTTGCATTGTGGATCTACACCTTCGGAGTTTACGTGCGAAAATAAACAGACCCTAACAACTAACTGGCAACTCGGATGGAGCATTACAAAAATGCCACGGAGACATGAACTGCTTTTCATTCAAGATGGTATCCAGTCATGAATTACTGAATTGAAGAGACTCTCATCTGAACTACTCTTTTGTTTTTATGCTAACAACCACATCAATATTATACTACGAACGATTTACATGTATTTTTAGTTACATCTGGCGTTTTACAATGCTTTGACCTTCACTCTGTTGGATGTAAAAGAAACATAAACTAGAAACCTGATGTCGCAAAGGTACGTTCCTTAAGAAAACACTCACTATCTATCACCAAGATATTGCCAAAATAAATGGGTAATGACTGTATGGAATTTCGATTATCATCAAGTTTCGCGGCATGCTTATCGATACTTCAGTTTCGGTGTAAGTGTTTGTAGCTTAACAAAAGGTAAAAATTTCCTTTCCTTTTTATATGGAAATACACGTACATCTAAAGTTAAAAGTGAAGGCTATTTATTTTTTTCACAAGTTCTTTTTTTCCCTTGCTTTCAAAAGAAAACATTAGAGAAAAATGAAACCATGGGCCAGAAACTGGTGCGATTAATGCCCTTATTGGAAAAAAAAAAGTTCAAAGACAGTAACAAACTGCTTTTCACCGGACTGTACGAGAAAAGGTTAACCTTGAGTTGGACATGCCGTTGGCTTTTTAGACCTGCCAATAAACCCTGTTTCTTTTTAATGTGTAACTGCAGTTCAGTTGAGAAGAAAAAATAGGCGGTAGAGTTATTGGACGGGTTGTTTGAAAACACAAAGTATGGCTTAAGTTTTCAAAGATGAGCGCTGACAGATACGCGGACAGAGATGTGAAAGTACGCTCTGCAAGACTCAGTTGAAAAGACTGAAATAAATGGATGAGAGGTGAACGGAACTAGCCTGATTCTAACTTCTCAGATGGCGAGGTGATTCACTAGAAAAAAATGAAATCAACGGATGCCAGCAGTGTAGGGTGAAATTTGCATTCATGTCGAAAGTTTTTGTGGGAATCGGGATATTTAAGTCCCACACATGGGCACACAGAGAAGGGCGAGGGAAGTGTGACAGAAAAGCATTTCTTATGAAAGCATCTGAATATGTGGTAAAGTTGACTTGGAAGACTTCCAACATGCATCAAACACTAGGTCGAAAGGCTGTAATAACATGACCAGCACATTATGGTTGAGGAAGCTCTGTTTCTCTCAAACAAGCCTTGATTTTCAGAAACAAAGGGAATGCAGACGAGGAGTTAGATAAAGTTCAGGGGGTAAAAGGTCACAGCCCACTTTCACAATGATTTCCACCTGTGCTCTTCTTTTGAACAGATACGTGGTGACGAAGGAATTGAAGTGTACTACCTTAGCAGTACTTAGAATTTAAATGAGTTGTTAGACTAAAATTTTAACTAATTAGATTTGTACACAGTATTTAATCAAACTAACAAACCTGTGTTTGCAGTCAATACGAGTATGGTGTCTGTAAAACTCGTTCTTGATGTAGAGTTCTCAACTTTTCATCACTCAAGCTTTGTACCAAGAATATGCCAAACTTCCATTCTTAATAAAGATGCAGTGACAAGGATCAACAAACAAAAGTTATTTCTACTTTCCTGTAGGCCGACTGTATAACGATGCTTACTCAATTACTTACTCTGTTGACAGTTGAAATAAACATGCTTATCGAAAGTATTGGCTTTTAATAGGGGTGTTGCTTTGCGTTTTGAAAACTGACATAATTTTCATCTGTAAATCGCGGAACTGCCTGAGCCGACACCAACAAAGTCAACTCGTACCCTCGTTAGGGTATACGAGTTGGCAAGGCACGAGGTGACTGGGAAATTGACACACTCTCCCCAAGTTGAAATGAGTCCCCAATCTACCACTTATAATCTCTCTCGGTTACAGTTTAATATGAGTTTCTACGCAGTCAATATTGCTTCAATTGACACGATTCAATCTCGAGGCACTACGGCTATCGGTACAGGTAACGCTGCACCTACGGCATGACAACACGTGAATTGTAAACTTGGGGACCCTGTTCCTATAATAGAAGGGAGAGCTACATTTTAACTTTTGAATTCACCTTGGTAGATGACTGTGACGTCATATTCAATAACTGTATGGTTGATGTTGTCAAAATAGGGCATGGGTTTGAGTTTTGAGGGAAATTATGAGGGGTACTGTGAGTGTTGTACGAAACATGGTGGATTCAAATTTGCATGGCTAGTTTTTCGATACGAAAGTCACATTTTCTCACAATTTACAATTTAAAATCTCAAAAAAATAGGGTCAGCACAATAAGAGGGTGTTGCCTTTGTTTTTTTCGGGGACTTACCAGTTTTGCAAGACAAAAAACTCGGGGGTCCACAAGTGTGCAATCCCCAACAACACTGACCATTAAGCAACTACAACGTTAGTTTGTGGCCTACCTACCGTTTTGACGAAGCAACATTTTCCTTCGATAAGTGCTGGTCAAAATGATAGTCTGCTAGATCCTCAGCTTGGTTCCACATCAGACGAAGGGCATCATTAATTAGTCCGCCATTCCGTTTCGTCCTCCGAACAAAGTCGTCCGAGGACAACTAGCAACATAAATCCTCTGAAAGTGCATGGGCCCAGAAAACACCCTCGAATACAAATGTCTCCACCGGAGTCCATAGTGCAGTATGTACTTTTCCTCGAGTGAAGAACAATTTGTTGTTCCCTTCGTAGCTAACAGATACAAGAAGGTGCAAACGAGTAGAGCCTTTCTTCTTTGAAAACCACAGGTGTGCCTAAGATTCAGCATGATCGATACTGGTCTCTTTCATGTATTTCACACAGCGAAAAAATGGCCTCGCGTCATTATCTGTGTGGCTACTGCGACTTTGGCTTACACGTTGACGTCTGCTGTAACGGTACATATACATTATCCATAGCCGTAGACGTCCTATTTCAGACAACCACTTTTCGGTCGCACAAGACTGCAACATGCAGCGCAGCAGTATCCCATAATGCTTTTCATCAACTTACTTGTACTGTCATTGGTTGTAAGTTTGTTCTTAACCAATGAAAAGCCGTTGCCATAGTGCACAGGTGTTAACGCATTCTTCAGCGGTATTATGTGCCAATTGTGTGTGTCGAGCTCTGAGACAAGGCGTTGCAGTGGGTGGACAAACATTAAGATGAACGAACAGGTGCCGGTTTTTATTTTCTTGAGATGAATCCAGTGGTTTTACCCAAAGGTGTGTCAGTGCAAGTGGATTTTAACTGGCGTTATAGGCCTGCTTCAATCTTGACACAATTTTCCTCGTGGTGTATCTGGTCGACGGATTTGGTAGCGCAAAAAGAAGACAAAAACCCAATCCACTGTTAAAAAAAAACCCAGACTCTGGTACGAACCTAAGCAGAACAAGCAATCGAATTTAGAGTCAGATGGTGGACTCCCTACTATATGGATATGGACTTGTGACATCCAAACTGGGCTAGCCTTTACCACTTTACCAACGATCATGAACAAGCAGCAATTTGCACGGGGGACAAGGGGGCCTCAATGACATCAAATTTTACAAACAAAACCCTATCTTATCCCTATTTTGAGCGGAAACGGGGATACGAGATTCTGGCAGGGGGTCGTATCCCACAGTGTGTCCCAGGGCAGTGCCTGCCGGTACTACCTCCCTGAATAGCTCTTATTAATACCCCCCCCCATCTTGACAGGAAAATCAATACGAATGGAATTTTAGCAAAAGACTGGGTAAACTCAGACGCCAACAAGAATCAGTCAACTCACTCCCGTGGATGTCAGTGTTGTTTCCAATCTTTAATGCAGTTCGCTATATCGGTATGGTGTCTCTGCCCAGACCAAAGTTACTAATGACAGAAATCTTAACATTCCGAATAAACTCAAAGTCGCAGGCATTAAACCTAACATCGATGATTAGTACGCCTTTGCTGATGATATAAACTGAATCTAGTCCAACTTAAAGCAATGAATGCCTTGCATGTTAAATATTTTTGTCGTCTTTTCCTGCTTGTTTCTACAACGGATATGCTCATAAGCTGGCTACTTTGCAAATACGCACAGAACGATATTAATTAATATTTTTGACGCATACAACATACAAGCGCTGTGAAAAAAGATGCACTTAACATCAAAAATGTACTAGGTGCATTATAAATTGAGGCGTGGTGAAATCAAACGTGGTTTGGGCTGTTGGCAAAATTCCTATAAAAAAGCTACCGGTATCGCTTTATTAAGAACTTCCGAAGTCAATTTTATGGATTTGGGGGGAAAAGGGACGATTCTAATCACTAAAGTTTTTACGCAGAATACGCAACAGAAAAAGGTACAAATTTATCTCTGTCATAATGGACGTTAGTAAACTAATTATCACCGTACCCTGGTAGCCTTAGTGGAAATACAAAAATGTTACAGTTCAGATCCGCCACTAAATTATGAATATGCTACTTCAAATAGCTTTCCTACTTTTTGAGGCATGTGAAATGCTTACTATATCATGCATTAAAATAATGATTAACGACTTTTATAATAAACTCATGAATACTCGATAGCTCATGAATAATTCAACACCTTTTGGAAACGTACTGTACAAAATGTGTTATAAATTTCAATATTTCAAAACAGCTGATTTCATATCAACCAACAGAGAACTCCTCTAGTATGTACCCAACACTATACGGAAATCTAGTTTGTTTTCATCTCCATAGCATGAGGAACATTATCGGCATTACCTGAAATATGTATTACTAATAGCCAATTTCGCTAAGGCCGAAACATACGTAAAGACTAATAAATATGACTAGCTGTATATTAGCTTCGAACTGCAAGCTGCAATAGCAATTAATTAATATTCAAACATACACAACAAATAAACTTTCTCTGACAAAATCGAAAACTTTAGAATCTGCACACTTCTATAACACAAACCTACGTTTTACACGCAATAAACCATCACATTTTCATTGGGTGAAAAGCGTAAGTGCATGGGTGAAGCTTATTTTATTTCCTACTAAGTGCAGGTATGTTATAATGTTACACATCACAGTTTATATTAAATCCCTTTAAAAACGGAGAATGAAACCTTTTCCGGGGAGAACGGTTTCGTTTTCGACAACACATAGTTTCTAATAAGATAACACGGTTCTGAAGCTATTTTGCAAATGTAGTAATCTATCATTTCTTAAATTCTGTTTTGTACTAGAGTAATTAAAGCTTCAATACCAAATTTCAAATTGATGGTGTTTAATATCAAATTTGATTCGCTATATTCTAAGTTCCAAGAATATTTAAACAATACTCTCAGTTGAATACTTATTTAGTGAATTACGGCATTTCTTCCAGATAAATTGCCACAAAAATACTAGCACAAAATATTCATCAAGAACGTTTGGACTCAATAAAAAAAAACCTATTGACACAACTCAATCCCACAACTTACTTTTAATCTACAGCCCTAACAAATATTACACATAAATATGTACACAGGTTTTCATTTGCTTAAAAAGAAATGGATAACATGATCCTGCCAACAACAAAAAAGGAAACAAAATGATACAAACAGCATACTAGAACATATGGCAGCAAAAACTTTACACAGTCTATCGAACGCAATGCATCTCCAACAATCTGTCCTTAACATTAGCGCCTTTATTATTTTCCAGCTGAAACTTGCACTGTCGAGGTAATGTATCAATTCTTCAAGCCGTCTGAAAACCTCATGGCTAGGCTGTAATCTATCTTTAGAAATAGCGATACAAATCAGTCATCAGCTCTATATGTTTAACTTCAATAGAGACGCTGTAAACATTATTCATCACAATATTGTTTTCCCTTATTAAGTTAAAGGTACAAATGTAGGGCATGATAAACATAAATCTACTTACTAAAATTCGGGATATGTTCGTTTATCACAACTGCCGTCTGTGTTTGGATAAATTGACTCGACGAATGAGATTTTTGACATTTCTAAAAGATGTACACATGATAGTGGGCAGTAACTTTTCAAAGACATACAAAACCTTCAGTTTGAGACCACACAACTGAAGTGGGAGAAAAAGCTCTATTTTGTAATGACCCACTTCAGAGTGACACCACAGCCATCGATTCCACAATGCTCATTGCTACACCATGTACCGTAATGCACCACCCATATTGCGTCCCATCTACTTGCACAACCATGACATTCAAAATGATCAAACAGTAAGAAGTCCTGACAACAGCCAAGTATATTTTGAATTGTCGACAGAAAATTTAAGGACAACACAGCAGGCTGAAAGTTGTTGCAAGCAATCCAAAGCAAACATAATGGGGGGGGGTTACTGAATAAATTTCAGGCAATATGACAGTGAGCTTGACAGCTTCATAGCACAAGTCTCCGAGTCATCTGGATAAATAAACATTCATCGGGATAGCTGTGCATCTGGCTTCTTGTGAATCACTAAGAAACTTGTAACACTGATCTAGTAAAACTGAGTCTTGCTGACAGTCTGGGTTTCCAAATGTTTACCATCGTGTAAGCATTTGGGAGTACATCTGTCATCAGGGGCAAATTTAATGGGGAAGATTTTAAACCAAAAATTGTGCTTTGATTATGCACTTACCACAAAAAATCCAAGAACGTGTGGCAAGCAAATGAGCTTTATTCACAAGACAGCCAATTTGGATCATGCTCCCCGAACACTCTGAAATGGGAAGGTGCCTGACTATTGTGTTGAAATGACAGGTGCACCCGGCCTCGCTTTGAACCTTTTTTGTCATTTGGGAAAAACACTAACATGACTTTTTATCACTCTTTTGAGAACAAGGACGGTTACAAAGGTTTGCCCTGTTACATAATTCCATTCCCACTTATATAAAGTTTTCAGAAATTTATAAGGGTATTACCAAGCTTTGAAGTTAAGAAGGCTGGTTTAAGAGTAAGGCCAAGTGACATTTTGCTGGTAGTCTTGTACTAAGCAAACTTCTATGCTCAAAGTTAAAAAACAGTCAGCCCCAGGTATCTAAATCGGCAAACACGGTCTGTTCAATTTACCAAAGTAGCAGCTCAATACCACCTTTGGTGGCTTATCACAAACTCTTGTTTGATCGGACCACACTTTATCTATTTCCAGTAAGGGTTTACGTTTTCCTCCACCCTACACAACTTCTATTGGATTTATGTATAGGCTGGGGGAAGAGCATTCCCCCTCCAGATATCAAACTGATCATCTTACTCTAGAAACATAAACAAAGGGCATCACACGAAACCATATTTCTTTCGGTGTTTATTCTAAATGAATTACCTGGTCATTTTCAAAGCAATGCTGCACTTTGAATATGCTTCTTACAAAATCATTTAAATACACACAAATTTTAACTTATGGCAGCACAGAAGTTTTAGTTTCATGTGTCAATTTTTGTTTACTTTTTTAGTACCCATCATTTGATATCAATTAGTAGTTTAATAAATTCATATATATTTCATCCCTGTGAATACACTAACTGGTGAAAATACATACTTTAATCTATTCTTGTCAAACTATTTAGCTCAATCTTATTTACATTAAATACGTGAGGTGCCACATCATATGCACTGTTTGAAGGCATTTTGTTCACTATGAATTTGTTTCTAAGCAAGAATTGACACACTGAGCTTGAACAACAATAAGCACTACTGAATTAATGACTTCAATTTACCTGTAGACTTCTTGTAATATTTTGGCAATACCTTTCTCTATCGTTCAAAGTAGCACACACATGCACTTAGGTAAGGCACTTTACAGTTTGTACCTATTAAATCCAGAAATCATGCTTGGGGCAAAAAAAACAACAAATTAGTGGGCCTCAAAGCTACAATTATGTACAGAACATCTCAAAGAAACATGCCTGCTTTATCATTATTGTATTGGGTTACATACGCATGAACAAGTTAGGGATGGTATCTCAGCACATCCAAGAAGTGGGCATCATGGGAGTGCAGCTGAAATTGCACCTTCTTCATCTTCTAAAAATGCAACAGAGTGAGGGCCTTTCATTATCCCAGGCCTGCTGAGCAGAGACAAGATACAACTGGCATGACCTCTGGCCTCTGACCTTCAGGATAACCTTGACGCATGTTTACCTCGGGGATTCCTCTGGGAAAGCTCTGGCAGTTTTGTTACAGGTCAAAACACTAGATGATTTCTTTCAAGAGTGAAAGATAGGTTGAGGCTTCAGTTTTTCATGTTTCCTGTAAGGGATATGGCAGACACAAAAACAGCAAAAAACATATCAGAACATATAAAATACTAACCCTTCTAGGTCCTTCAAATCCACCGGCAGGTTAGCAGGATTTTGTACAATTCAAATAGACTGGACCAGGCCAATCTTTGTTTCACTAGGGGGCCCCACGTCACTTGGAAATTAAAGTACAAGGAATGTGCCATTAAGTTCCTGAACTGCCGTATGTTCAGGAGGATTCAGGAAGTTCATGAGATGCCTTGGCAAGAGGGGTTAGTTTATGGAGACAGACAAATCCTCAAATTCAACATCTGCGAGTTAAAAGACTAACTCTACAGCAGAGCTCATTCTGCAGTGCACTGGATTAAACGCAGCCTTTACATGTACTGCAAACACAAAGGAACAGAACAGAATTCCGTTACCTGTTTGTAGACGTAGTTTCCGGGGAAGGTGCCAAACATTCCAGTTCTCTCTGACATTCCGACAAACCAACCGTCATCGCATTTCTCAAGGACGTTCACCAAGTCTCCTTCCTGCAGCTCAATCTCATCCTCGTTCTGCGGCATGTAGGCAAACGAGGCCACATAGCTGCAAAGAATCACCAAATTATCCACTGAAGAGAATTCGATATAGGAAAGGAATAGATGGAAGAGTAGCGAGAGGAGGCATGGAGAATGCATCCAAGCTGAAGCTGGGTCCTCGTCCAAGCCCACCAAGTTTGGCAGACTAAGGGGACTAAAACAAACAGTGGACCAGTAGAAATGAAGCCTGATTGCAAGACAGTGTGTTCTTGGTATTCATGCTCTTGATGGTGGGTAGGAATCTGAGAAATGGGAGAAAAAGAATGCCAAAGTGTCCAAAAGGTTTTACGTTTCTTACAAGTGCCAGGCTACCAACACTCACATTTCTAAATGTGTTCACCGACGAACTCTGCAGTCAATACAGCTTCAGGACTTTGGCAAGATTCCTACTTTACCATCTTAAATTTAGCATTATTGGGGACCAGGAAAAGAATTGTCCATCCTCTTTTTCAACCAGTTTTTGTTATGAAATTTTTTGTAAACAACTTTTCAGTCCACAGCTTGGAAACACGGAAATACGTGGTCATTTCCCCATACCAATGCACCTGATCATGCAGGCACAAGTTTAAGGCATCCCAAGCGATTCTGAAGGATCTTCAGAATCGGTCTATGATTGATAAGTGTCAAGGGCTTCCAACAGATGTACTGCGTGTCCTTGGTAGACCAGAGTTCGGACATTTGGCGCTCTACATAAAATCCTCATGGCCGGTTTGAGATCCCCCTATAGACCCACCAAACTTGCACACCATCTGTCATCAAAGCCCAGCCAGGCAACTCAGTCTGCGCCTTCGCCTAGCAAGGCTACTGAGAGATCTTGAGACTCCAACAAATTCTTTGTAAATGCAATAGTTCCGTGCAAACGCATGTTGCATTCTTTGAATGCCATTGCATTTAAATTACCTACATTCCAACACAACGTGGAGTTGTACTGATTTCCACAGTCCCTCAAAAGTCAAAAAGCCTCTTAAACTGTGCTTGTAGGCTCTTAAAAATACCTCAACTCATCAATTTTAAAAACAGACACAAGAACATCGGAAAACAAAAAGAGAGTACTCACAGATCTTGAGCGGCTGCAAGTGTCCTACTAGGCTGTAGTATAAAATTAGAAATGTTAAGTGTTGACAATGATGCCTGGAGAGAAGTTTTCAATGCACTTCAACTGCATGACAGGTAAAAAGCAGATTATATACTGCATTTGTTATTACTTGGGCCCTTGCCACCATTTGGGGGAAGATACATGTAATTGGAGAACCCGTTTTGGTTTAACCTTTTAAATAACTTTCACTTTACTAGATCAGTCACTAAAAAGAGCTTCAAATCGGAACTTTTCATTTTAAACTATCCACCAGGTGAGTGCAGACAAGGGCTACATAGGCCAGAAGGGTTAGATAGGATGAGGCTAGGGATAATCATGGAGTGCGGTCAGGGAACCAGGGTAGGGTGGAAAGAGGTGGGGGCGGGTGCCATGGGGTGGGAAGCAGTAAACAAAAGTTTGGATACATTTTTACGTTTCTTTTGAGTACATGTGATACAATACATCCAATTTAGGTGGTCATTTACCTTAGGAGCATGCTCTTCAAAGTATCGCTCAGGCTCCCTCTGGCTACTACCGTACGAGCCTTGACTACCAGATGATCCCAAAGACGACCTCCCCGCTTGGCTGCTTGGTGCGGCCTGCAGTCTCTGCTGATGCTTGGGACTGGACTGTGTCATTTGCTGGCTGGAGGGTTGATAAGGTGTGTGACTCGTTGTTGCTTGACTTTTCCCAGACGGGGAACTTGTGACACCTTTATGTAAGGTATGAACATATGCACCATCAATAGTTACCTATTATATGAGTACAATTAACATCTTTCTTGACAACAATGAGAATATTCTATTCTCTAATACAATCACTGTGAAATATAGTTCAGTCACTACAGTTAAGTGTCACTGTTCTTCACTGCATGGTCATAAACTTACATTTTAAGGACTTCACTTTTCACTGTAGACAGTTTTAAGAAGTCTAAAAACTCTTTTATAACTCAGGCTTTTCATTATATCTACAAATTCAAGGGCATCATATCGCTAAAGATGCAAATCTCATCAGACTGCTAAAGTAATCTTCACAGTGACCTCTTGATCTTGTGCAGTTCACAAAAACCTCCTACCTGAAAATGCCATTCAAGTTTGCTTAACTGTTCGGATGTCTGCTAAACATAAATGATGGCCACAAGGGAATACTTATGGAAAAGATATCATCGGGAGTACCTGGTTTGGAATATATCTCAGTGGCAATGTGTTAACACTCCAGTAGTAATGGTACATGTACTTTTTGATAGACAGCATACAAATAGTGATTGCAAGAAATGTCCCTTTAGAGGGCTATTGGATGCTGAAAGTGTCAAGCATAGTTGAGTAAACAGTCACTATGCATACTGTTCAGAAGTACTCAAGGCAGTTTGAGTATAATTATGAGTACTTCAGAGTGCCTAAACTGTCAAAGTTTAAGACAGACTGCACCATCTCACTGAATGGAGTAATCACTTACTTCCAAGATCTTCCTTCATCACCACAATGACAGGGAAAAGATTCTTGTAATATTGCCCACTTCATGATTTTCAATTATCAACATTTTTGAAATCATAAACAATAGCTCCTCCACATGAGTAAGTCTCCCTCTTCCTTTCATGTCATCATTATCACAAAGCAATTATTAAACACACTCCTTTTTTTATTTATTGGACCTCTACGACAATTAATCTAGAACCCACGCCAAAATATCCGAGAGTTTTTGGGGATGAATGCACCAGGTTGAGAGAGCAGTTTGTGGTAGGTTATTTCTCAACAGAACAGGAACAAGGTTGCTTTGACAACCTTGGTAGGTACACTCTATTACCCACGATAAATTTGGAAGAAATTAGTAGTACAGCTGTCATTCGTAAATGTACAAAACTTGTCTGTGATTCTACCAGGTATTTGAAGAAACCCCCAAACCAAGACAGCCTCTTAATATTCACAGTAAATGTCAAACAGTGAACAGTCCCCCACCAGCAGGGAAAAAAAACTCAGCCAAAAAAGTCAATGCCATTGGCATATGCTGTCCTGTGGCTGCTGACTAGTATACATGTACCACAATTCAGTGCAGGTCTCTGGCTCCAGAAGCACTGCAACATTTCTCATAATGTCCCATAATGAGCCTTCAAGGTTCTGGCTCAGTGGTACCCAGATAAAATAACTGGCATGGTTGAGGGACCTTCACAAAACATCACTGGTTAAGAGCAGGCACGCACTGTGATTGATGCTTGGAAGGTACATGTAAGAAGTACAGCCCACTGCATTCAACCGCCTTTGATGGAGATGTCAGGCCTTATTGTATATCATGGTGAGTCATATTGAAACTTGAATGATAATTGGATGTTCCTTGTCATTATTTCCAATGAATTTCAATTTACATGAACATTTACAAAGTTTATTAGACAGTAGCATAACCGGAGTGCCAGAAGTGAGTTATTCATATTTTGCTACATTACTGTTATTACAACATGCTGACAGCAACAATTGCTTTGAGATTGTAAAGCAAGATACCACTTGATTAGAATAATTCCTTGCACTCACTTCATAGAATGGATGACAAAATAAATCTGACAGATACATAGAAGGGAAATGAAATGAGCACAATTCAACACTTTTAATGACAATAATGTTTAATACAGACCTTAATGTTGGCATAAAATTGAAAATAGGAAAGCAGGGGTCAGAATGGTTGAAAGTGAACATATCATAATCAATTGCACATTAAGAAATGTCAAATGATGTCTCAGTTGCCCTTTAAAAATGTTGCCACCAGTGAGAGTTCAGAGGTCATGGCCAACCTTTCCAACCAGGGGACTAATGAAAAAGCTCAAATTTACTGAATGACAATCACTGATTTGTTTACAATGTTCTGCAACATTACTGGTTACTTGCACGTAGGCTACGGCAGAAAGATGCTGGGAAAACAGGGAATACAATGCTATGCCTACAGGCTGTTGGTATGGGTGACGGGTGTGGGTTATGTGTTTGCTTGTGGACGTCGTTTGTTTGGTTTTCACTGCAGTTTGGAAATGTTCCGCTTCTCTGTACAGGGTATGGTAATGTCTCAGGAAAGCATAAGAAGCCTGCAGCAAGGGTTGGCCAACAGGAAAGTGATGATGTGGACTGCCAAAAATTGATTTTGATGTTTTAGTGTGCCATTTCGAAGATTAGAAATGGAACTTTATAATTTGGTGTATGTATGTACAAGCATTCTTAGTGTATTTTAAATTTGGAGGAGTAAATGAATCTAGATCCTTAAACAGGATCAAAAGGACTTCAACTAGGGTTACAGAAACCAGTGTTGTAGCCAGGACCCTTTCAGACCATCACACCAGCACACAAGACCATCAGAGACCATTGCCAAACCTCCAGTCAGTATTCAAGTCACAGGCTATTCAAATGAAGTGCACGAAAAGCATTCGTTTGTCACTGGTATCCAGTTACTTGTGACTGGTCTTGTGCATGGTCTCAACAACAACACCGCGACAACACAAGTGAAATTACTCATTACATGTTTTATTCATTTAGCGTATTTTGCAGTTAAATCACAGTGCTCATGTTAAGCACCACAAAAAAACCAGGTCCCTGATTGTGCAACAGTGGATCACGTTTCTCTCATGCTCCCATCACTCTCCGCAACGGCCTGGATCCACTTTTCGCTTTATCATGTTTGAAATCTAGCACACCGATCTCACCCACAATGCCTTGGGTTTGACATTTCAGCACCTGAGAGAGCTGTATAAAACCTGCAGTGCCTCCCCTCATCTGTGCCTAGTCTGTCAGCTGGAAGGGTTCGGGCCAAATTGTTCCGCATTTAATGTTTGCTACAGGAGCTTGGAATTATTTTCAAATGTCACAAGGCCCAGAGGGCCAGTCCAATTGATCAGATTGTTATTCTTTCATCTGCATGGAGAAAAAACTGCTGGTCTGTGGTTGATGATGGCCAAACCTAGATTGGTGTGAACAATGTATAACAATACCAGCACTCGAAGGTTTGAAGTAAGGCCAAAGGGGTAAGGGAAATGGAGTTATGCACCATTACTCACCAGAGGAAGTTAAAGGGACTTTCATGTCACTGATTGATTGCAGAGTGCCTCTGAGGCAATGCTAATGGAAAGGCTGTCATGGTGCTGGATTCTTGGAAGCACATTAGAGGAACTATTCAGTATGGCCTAGAATACATATTGGCCAAGTCCCCCTTGGGTCGTAATGGTGATTCAGAAAGTCACTTTTTGGCAGAGCTGTACTCTGTACTCAAATAGAGCCTTAGTATGAACATCGCTTGGATACACTCTGTTGCATCACAGCAAAACAAAATTCAGTACATGTATCCCTAACTGCACATCTGGCCAGTGGATCAGAAACCAGGATTTCTGGCTGAAGAAAGATTGACTTTCCTGATTTACAAAAAACCCAACACTGGCTAAAAACTGACTGTTTCCGGGACATTAAAATGGTATCACACCATGGAATCAAGCCGGGCACAAATGGCATAATGGCTATTGTGTGACTTGAAGTTGTGCAGTTCAAACCCAGCTTACATGTACATGCATGTCTGGCAAGATGACTCTTAACTACAATTGCCTCTCTCCACCTAGGAGTTCAAATGAGGTACCAGCCAGGGCGGGGAATAGAACTTGAGCTGCAGCATTAAGGACTTATTGCTTGGCCAGACAGGGGTAGTAAGTTGGAAACCCTTTGAAGTCTTCATACAAAAGCACTGCGCCCACCATATTAAAGGCATTTATTACATCCCCCAGGGGAACTGATCCAGAGCAAATGTCAAAACTTACGGCCCAGAAAGAGAGCTGTGCCACTGTCGGTAGTATGTCTGGTCACTCTGGTGGCATTATCTGTGTATGTTATTTCTTCTGACCCACTTTATTTGTACAGTACATGAGGCAATGAAATATATAAACAGGAAAATAAACATGTATACCACCTTATCTGTAGAAATTCCTACTCCTTGTTACCAAGTGCTAATATGAGACAGGCTAATTTTGCAAAACAACACAAAAATGTATTTGTTGGCTAATACAGACAGGTAAATGTAAGAAACGAGAAAGGATTAAAAAAATCTAAGTCTAGAAAGACTGAGCAGTGTTGTGGTTTAATTTGTGATGAGACGTGGAAACTCAAAAACAAATCTGAAAGCTGATCTAAGGTAAAAATTTATGCCTGCTGATACTGTACATGTACCAAGAAACCTGACACTTTGGGCCAACAAGTTACAATTTCTCAACAAACTACATGCTCTTTGTATTCTTTCAGCTTGGCACTGATATTGTTGTTTTAGACAGCATGGCTGATGCTTGCCGGGCAGTATGATTAAAATCAGCGCTAAAATGTCTTTGGGTGTTGGACCTCCGAAGGCCGGTGCTAAAAAAGACCAAGGTCCCACATTCCAGTGTATTAGAATTCAGCAAGCACCAATGTCTCTGAATGCTAAACAGTTATCTAAGGCAAAAAAGGGAAAAATGTTGACCAGGTTTCCTGGGGAGATTGTTACGAACTGGAGGAGACCAAATTTCCTAAACTTATCCGGATTTCATCCCTGACATGAGTGGGAGGAAAGGGAATGAGCTGGAGAGCCGAGCACCGTGGGCCGTCCCTTGTAAGCTAATCAAGCAATCAGACCGAGCCAAGCAGCTACCAAAGCTGTTTATGGCCAAAAGAGTCTGCCTCGCCTCGGCATTCCCCGCAGACGTTGGAATGTCAAACAGCCCAGGATTGCTGGCTATGCTGGCCAGACTGGCCATCACTGAACACCAGAGGGGGCTGTGCAGATCTAACAGTATCCAAGCAACCTCGTCGTCAAGAGTTCTTTCTTCAGCAGAAACCTTAGAACACATACGTGCAGATGAAAAGTTTGCACGTAAACCCAATCTCAGATCGAAGCACATTAACATAATCACGTCATATTTTCATTTCTGGGTATACGGTACATTACCTCCCAAAGCAATTTGCTGCACCCTGTAAAAACCTGATCCCCAATATGCTACCAGTACATTTACATATAAAGACAAACAGGCTTTTCATTGCAATTTCTGTTATTTGCTCGTCCATGTTACTTCTGGTCGAGCTCAGGCGGCCTGTTCTTGACACGGGTTTCTTCTTCTCGCACTTGAGTGGCCGGAACATGACTCAAGAGCACTGTTCTTGGAACAGGATGCACACACCACCTCCTTGTCAGGGTTTTACAGGAAAAATGCGGAAAAACTCGCGAGATTTTGATTTTTGAACAGCCACAAAAAGTATACAGATGGCTTCCAAAGCCAGAGACTGTGGAAAGTTTTTGCAAAATTAACATAAATTATTTTCCATAACACAGAAATGAATGTTCCTGTTTAAATAGAAAAGAATTCATTTCACCCATACATTAACTCTCGAATAAAGTACATGGATGCGGCCATGTTGCATGCTGGTTGCCACTAACTACAGCAATAACTGGTTGTTTGTTCCTAGCGTTCCAGCAGCAGACCCACGAAACAAATCAAGTTGTTCGTGAACATACGAGAACAAGCCGCCCAAACTCAGCCTATGCTTCTGGTCATTTCCTCTTGTGCAAGATCATATCAAAACTAAACATGTTTCTCAAAGACTATCAAGTTATAAAAACTAAACACTTTTTGCATGAAAATGGGAAAATAGAAACTTAATAATTTCACCCCAAATTTGAAGTGGCTTCATTCCGGCACTGGCTTTGTCTATATACATGTAGGCATATCATTGACGCATCGCCACTCAAATGCACTCATACATCTTGTGCAGTTATAAAGTAAATGGAATCTTAGTGTCCATTTAAGACAAAAACAGTCCGATTTATGTATATCTATTCACCCATGAATTAGCAGTTTATAAATACTACTTGGATATGCCGACATCTCACAGGCTTTCAAGTGCTCCTCTATAACAAGTTTAGGGCAATGACGAGAATGATAAACTAGAAGCCAGTGAAAGTGCAAGTAGTACTACAAAGCCCTATCTGCAGGAAACGTGGTTAAGTGTCTTGTATGATCGAAACCACAGGATTCCCAGAAAACCACAGAATTCCCAGGGTAGGGAGCCAACAAACCGCAGCAACTTCCTCCAGATTCTCGCAGACCAGGAGACGTACATTAAAACCAGTTCATCACAGGCAAGGGTCATCATGAAAGATACTGTTGCAATTTGGAACTGCCTGAAACCATTTGGCAGGGTAGATGGCTTCTTTGGCATGATGAATACGTATATATCCACACACCTACAGATATACAATGTTTTCCGAGGGAAATGGCTCATCCATATGTGCTGGGGTACCATATGGATTTTTCAGTTAAAAGTTCAAGAAATTAATTAGATACTTCAACTATATACCGGGAAATTTTATGTAGGGCATGCAGTACTGGCAAAAATGAACAGCACGTTGTTTTCTTGATACTCCCTTAGCAAGTGGGTTACAGAAGTAAGTGCACAGTATTTTTCGTCTGCGGTGGAGAATATAAAATAAATTATCTAACCCACAAATGCAGGCTATTTGACAAATGCATCTAAAATGTGAGGGTGTGAGGTTCAATAGTTTAGGACCAGAAATTGTTAATTTAAAACTTGGGATTCAGGAACAATGCAAGCACTGAAAAAACTGATAAAAAATGCAACCAAAGAGTTGATATATAAAAAGGAATTGATTAAGATGGCCAAAGATAATATGTTGCAAACATCCACTTTTCAACTCTTACACACATATACAAAAAACAGCCGCAGTTCACTGGCAGGACACCTGAAAGAGAAACAGGGAGCATAATTTGGGGCTTCCAGAGCAGCAGTCATATTTCAGAAAAAACAAATGACAGAACACCCCTTTACCAAATGAATCAGTCCCAATGTTGTATCTTACCTGTAGGTTCTCGGAGCACTTCCACGTAAGCGGCAGGGAAGATTCCTTTTCTGTCTCCAATGTACCCCTCCCACCAGTTGGCATCAACCTTCTTGATGAGCACTATGTACTCTCCCTAGTTTGGAGATGAACATAAAAAATAGAGCAGTTTACAATGTGTTCCTTTTCTGAAAAAGAACACAGGACGAGCCTGAAATGTCTACTGTCTGCGCATCCGTGAGTGAAGAACTCGACCTGGATCTAGACAATGGATTTGCATGCATCCACCAAAAACAAAGAAACACACGATGATACTTTTCTTAAAGAGACTGGTTTCTTTTTACTCACATCAAAAGAGCAGAATTTTGGGTCATCAAAAAGCCGAGGTGAGACTGAAGAACTAAAATGCTCCATGAATCTTTGAGACCCAAACGACAGTAATTACGATCAGCTTTCAGTGGCTAATACGGCAAAGTTTTCACCCAAATGGCTACGACTGTGTAAATGATGCAATTGGGGTTTTTTAGAGTAAAAAGTGAAAACAGTGGCAAAACCTGCAAGGTGGAACCTCTGAAAAATTCTGAGAAAAATCCTGAAATCCAGAAAAATCCTGAGGTATCACATGCCTGTTAAGAAAGACATGAGATTTCACAACTCGACCTACTCGGGCTGCTTGAGCACAATCTACTGTGGGTACTTACTGGTACAAAGCAGTTGTGAAAGAGTTATGAGTACTTGTGAAGCACTCGACCACACCCCTAAAACTCACCTTGTTGAAGCTGAGTTCCATCTGTGTCTCACCGTTAAACCTGTACTTGGCCCTAGCCTTGCCCTCCAAACCTGGTCCGTGGATCTGAGCCCTCTTGGCATCTTCAAGGGAGGTGACAACCTGGCAAATCAAGTAGCTTGTCGAATAAGTTACATTAGAAACTGACTGCAATTGTTAACTTTAAGATTATGGAACAAACTAGCGGAATGAAAACTGAAGCAGGATTTCAAACTTCAAAAAAAAAAGCCCAACATGAGATTAGATAACCTTGATCAAAGAGTACTGACTTACATGAGTTCAAACCATAACCCGAGAATATTGACTGGGAGCAAGTTTCAAACCATCAGCAAAAGGATTGACAAAAATGAGATAAGTGGATTGTACCTTCAACACAACAAATTGTTAATGTCCTGTCAACTGTGATGGGTCCAATTTGATAGAGCTGTTAAGCACAAAATTTGTTAAGCTTGAAAAAACCTTGCTTGACAAATCAGGTTACCAGCCAAAATTCTGTGTGATGTACATTGTTTTGGAATGGCATTCACCTGCCTTTTGGTTAGCATGACTATTACAAAGATTTTGAGCTGGTAACCTTTGTGTTTTAAGCAAGGTTTTTGTGCTGAAGCGGTTCTATGAAATTGGCTCCTGGTTTTAGACCTGGATATTTGACTTTGTGCACAATTACCCTACAGCTACAGTACAAGAGTGATGATTCCTCACACAGATGCTTTAGTGTCACTTGGTATTTGTCTCAGACTGCAAAACGAAACCTCCAAGTTTCTTCATTTGTGTTCAACAATTTGGGTCTTCGGCTTGCTACGTTTTCTTTCCAAAGCTGGCCGGTTCCCTTACCTCCACATAGCTGGACGGAAAGATCCCTGCATGGCCGTGGTGTTCCCCCTCGAACCAGTTCTTGTCAATCTTCCGCAGGAGATAGATGATGTCTCCCTTCCCGAAACTCAATTCCCTTCAGGAATAAATAGCAAAGTGTGCATGTCAATGCCATGAACATGCATCTAACCAAGACATCTCGAATAGTTCTCAACACTGCAACTGAACCAACAGCAGGAGACAACAGCAGGGAACACAAGAGTTGATCACAAATGTGTAGCTAATTAATCATCTTAAGCACTACTCACTTGTGCGTCTGTGCTTTGAAGGGGTAAAGCGCGATGGCACATGCTCGAACCTGAAAAGAAAGAGAGAAAAAAGCATTCTGGGTAACGTCCAGGTGATTCTGTACTTTAAGCAGCACTCTAAAAACTGGGTGTAGGTTTCCCTCCAAGTGTCATTCTTGCTCTGTCCCCTGACTCATCCTCATCAACATCAATCATTCTCAGCCGCACCCATCCTTTCCATCCCGGTCTGATCCCCCTCTCCTCACCTCTTGCTTGCGGCCATCCTCTTTGGCGCTGATGACCGGATCTCGGAACCTCTCGTTGGTGATGATGGGGGACTTGAGGGGCGTGTAGTCCGAGTGCCGTCGCTGTCTCTGCTCCTCCGCTAAGAGTTGCTCCCTCTTCTTCCTCTCCTCCTCGATTAGCTTCTGAAAAAAACCCACAAATGTCAGTTGTCTAACCCTACAGGGTCCGCAAAAAAAAATGCACTGCAAGTGATCACGGGCTAAATCAGTAAGTGATGGAGGATATCCATCAACTTGATATTTTACATTCATAGAGGCCCTCAGATGGACTGGCACTTGCAAACCACAATGTCCCCCCGAACTTCAACATCCACAAAAAGCAAAGATTCAAGGAATGCTGGGGTTTAAAGTCATCCCAAGCAACTCAGTTACAAGTACATTTACCTGCTCCTGCTACACAAATCCTTGTCTCAATGTCAGTCTCACAAGCTATCAAACACACCGACATTATGCAAAGACATTCCTTTGTCACTGCTCACTCACTCACTGACTGTGAAACTATTTGTAACTGTGCTCCGCAAAACTACTGTGAAGTACCCGAACAGTACACGACTTCAGTGCTGGAAGTAACCCAAACATCAGGTGCCAACGGATCATAGAATAGTTCTCACCTCTGCTTTTGTCTTGTCTAATGTTGGGGGTGGGTCCCTATAGTTGTAGATCTTGTCACTTCCCGACGAGTGCCGACTTGGCTTGGACCCTAGCCAACAAAGAAAAACACAAGGAATTGTCACCAGAAGCACTTAATGCAATCTTACCAGGGCATGTGCCTATCTAATGAGGCTGCGCTGAAGACTTGAAAGTATTAGGACAATCTAAGTTATTTTCTTAAGGGTTATGATTAACCCAGGCAATAAAAAACTTAAAATTCTGTCGATTGTTACCTGGTTACTGCAACTACTTTGTAGGACAGCATGAACGTTGAAAGTTGAGTGTTTTATTGCACAAAGCATTTTAACACCATGGTCTCAGCGTCATGTGTATTAAGTAAAATGCATTTTATTAAAAAAAATACTACCAACTTGTAACAAATAATCAAACCAAACCACCCTGTGCACCATTCGTCAGGTATGACTACCCACTACTATTATAAACAAGGTTTTTAAAGCAAAGCCACTGTTCGTAACATATTATTGGCTTAGCATCATTATATTGGGTCACTGGCACAGATGAATGAAAAAAAGGAAGTCCAGTCGGGTTGGCTTGCGTAATGTATTGATAAAGAAAAGGTTCAGTATTGCACTAGGGGACTTTTAACCTGTTTCCTTTTGGGAAAGATAAATTTCTAAAGGTTATTTAATGTAATGCCCAAATTTGTAGGCTTGAGGTTTGTTTTATTCAAGGCAAAATATTTGACTTGAGCCTCTTTTATATTAGCTTGGTACCCATATCAAATAGAATGGTAACATTTTACTTCCATGTTCTGAGTATTGGTATTTTGATGTAAGAACCTCGCTTACTGACAGTGGTGGGTAGTTGCATTGGGTGACTTACGCAAAAGAGATAAAAAGGACAGGGGACAGATAATTACAACTGCTGGCTTGTGCCTTCATAGCACCAAGGTTAAAACTGGTTGGTATATGTTTCCATATAAATGGTATCAAAGGTAAAACTTATAAATGGAACCATTTTGGTTTAAGTTGAATTTATATTTGACCAAAGCAGAATTTGGAACCACACTTTAGAATCTACACTGTCATTACAGGCACGTCTCTGACGTTGGTCAAACTGCAAGCAGAACAGCAAGTAGTGTTCCAGAGGGTAGTCAACTGCTCGGCCCCGGCCAAACATTCTTCACAAAGTCAGACATGTTGGGTCATGGCTACGACTGGTTTCAGATCTATGCCACTACACGTAGCCCTGAAACTTTTCTGTTAGGCTACCAGCACTGGCAAAATTTGACGACTGGTTCCCCGTCCAGTTTATACTTGTAGTTCCATGTGTTTGTTGCTCAGTTAAAACAGCAACTGATGACTGGTTCCCTGCATGCTGTACACACGAAGAATTGTAAAACTCCACAAGTATTGTCCTTTCACCAGATGTTCAGACATGTTCTGGAACAGCAACTGACGTAAACTTGTGCCTGGTTACCAGTTGTGTTAAAAGTGCAGAACATACAAGTACATGTACTCTTGGTTGGTTGAACATCTCAGACACATTTCAGAAGATGTGCTATAACACTGGGGTCAGTTGATCTTGTGCAAACATTCCTCGGCTATGTTGAATGTTCCGGAAGGCTACCTCAGGAAGAGAGCTAAACCTGAAACTCAAGATGGCCACTGATGATGTCACAAGCCACTGCTGGAGGCCAACATATATATATCCCCGTGCTGCACAGACAAGTCTGGAGGGCAAAGGCATAGCCCAGCAGAAATGCTCTTGAAGAGAGATATTTCAGATGAAGTTACTGGGGCCGAGCAGCAAAGTTATATCTCTGGCTGGCTATACCACAATGCAGCCAAAATGACCTCTGGCAAACTTTAACCTTTACACTGTTATCCAACCAAACATTAATTTAACAGGGTCAGCAGCACACATAACGGCAGCTTCTCTCATCTTGTACACATTCCGATAGCTGTCAAACCAGTATCATGTTCCTTGATCCTTCTGTCTGTGCCCTCGACAGTGCACCACCCTAAAAGCATTCGTTCACTAACTTCCTCATACTTTGCAGTCGCTCTGACATGCATTACAAAACTCACACAATTCTTTGCAAATGTGAGACGCACAATTTTTGGCAGCATTGCATTATAGCCCACTTATCAAAACATGGCATCTGTCTACTGAATTCTAATGCACCAAAAAAGGCTGCCGGTAATTTAATTCTGACAGATCAAAGTTTACACCAGGCAATTAGCAAGTAGGGAACAATTTTTTTTGGCCTTGCTTCAAATATTAACCAATGTACCTTGCTTGAGTGACTGACAAGCCTACGGTATGAAAGGCGTTAGCAAGGCTACACTTGATTCTTTTGACCTAGGAGTTGGGATACTTCACCCTGTCTGAAGATGAGAAACAGCTACAGTGCTATGCACTATACATATATGGTGAGCGAACGGGATTGTCTTACTGACACACATACTAATGGGTAGGGTTCATTTGCTCCTTGGGGTTACTGAGTGCACGGGCATACACGTATAGATATCGATAAAATATTGTTTGATTTTGGCAAAGGTACCGGCACTTGAATTACGCAGACTAATGTCGCCATCGTAGGTTTCTCTAGAATTTAGCAATGCTGTCTGTGCAACTCCCTACAGTTGTTGTGCAAAAGTTAGACATTCAAAATTGGTTATTTACCACAAATGTCACTCATATTGTTTAAATTGATATGACTGATGCACTCCACCGAGTTGTAGTCAAGTCTGGTCCAAAGCATAGCAACATTTAGGCACAACTGAAATCACAAGTCTGATCACAAGTAACAGGGGATGAACAGTAAAAAAAGAATGCCTTTTGGACAGTTCATTTCAGTGAACAGCTTGTGACCTGGGTCTGAATGACAGGAGCTTGTAAGGGCTTGCAAGAACTTATACAAGGACTTGTGATCAACTTGACTGCTACACTGTGAACCACAAACTTGCCTTGCTGAACCAACCTTGTCAGAAGGTAACCCCTATGCTTGGGTCATCTCACTCTGACATTTTCCAGAATCAAGCGCTGGTGATCAGCATGCCAGCTGGTGGTAACATTAGCCGTGCTGATCTGTGTCAGCAGCATTTTGCCTGAACTTTAGCTGCCTCCCTGTCTGCTGCATGCAGTGCAGGGATTTACGGCATAAACTTCATGGGACTACACAAAACAACTGTGTTCCTCCATCCACACTTCATCTTAGTCCAACAGCTCAATCCTCATTTTTGACAAACACACTCTTTCTAAAATCTAAGTGCCCTCTTGGTCCTGTTTGTGTGTCAGAATAGTTACACAGCAATAAGACCCCAATATAAACATTGAATACATAACACTTCTCCATAGCCACACTCATTCAATATTAGGCATGTCACGGCAAACCATCAAAAGCAATCTTAGGGTGGCCCAAAAGTAGGTTTTCAGGCTAAGTGGTCTTTAAAATAACTTGGCCTCACAAGTAGACAGGTCCATGTTTACAGGCAGGGTTTTAACAGGGACTTGTGGGTAATTGAAAGGACTGGTTCTGTTGCATGAAGTGATAGGGAAAGTAATTGGAACGAAATGTCAAAGATGGCATTTTGAAAACCTTACATGTATGAGTACACATACTGGGTTTAAATAAGATTGGACGATCTTAGCCGAACTGAGTGCATAAAATGTTTCCAAATAAGTGTACGTGCAATTGAAGTCATTTTTTTGGGGTGACAATTGACTCAGATCAAAATAAACAAGTCATCAAGGACTGAATAAGCTAGAGCAATCAATCGGAGTCATTGCATGTAGCTACACTTATGAGAAATTACTTGGTATTTATAAAACTGAAATGCTGCAGAAAAATGAAGCAGTTCTTTTGGAACTGTGAAACTTTGCATTCCTTTCTTGAAAGAACCATATGTGGTAAGAATTATTACCAAAGGTAGCATGCATTAGAAAAATCCAAAATTCAGAAGGTATAAAGGCCTAGTATTAATGAAAACTGAATGGCCTTACTCCTACTCCGTAAAACATTTGTACATGTAAAAATGTCTATATTTTTGGCATTCCTAGAAATCACTATAAGGCACTTTGAGAGTCAATACTTTCATACAAAGCCAGATCGCGATCAGTGATCTGTTGGTTCACTGACTTTAAAACCTACATGTACCTAATGGATGGAGTGAACCAGCGATGGGATCACTGATTGAGATCTAGAGCTGTCTGAACAAATGGGCCCACGGATCAAACTTTATGCTACTAAACAGCTGTTGCACATGGCACGGCTTCTATCAGTTAAAAGAATACCATGAAGCATTACTAGATAGGGAAATCAAGATGTATTTACTTTGGCCTTTTTCATTTGAATCTCCATCAGCCTGGCTGTGTACCATCATTTGTCCCTGAGCGAGTATCACTGAGTCTGCCTCGGTTTGAGGTCCATTCCCCTGGGGGACGGTGTGACTTGGGGGTTCTGTCAGTGGTTGCATCATGGGTGACGGCACTGGATTCACTGAGGGTGCTGTCCTGTATTTGTCAACAGACACTGTTTCCCTTTGCGGATTTGTCATTTGCTGCGCCATTGCTACTTTGGCATGCTGTCTCTGGGGTTCTGTCATCTGGTGCCCCTGGGTTACTGACACATGATGCTTGTTAGGTACATGTACCTTGCCTTGCTGAGGTATTAATGAGTGTTGATGCTGGGGTGAGGAAAGCTGATTCCCTACGGGTTCTACCACATTGTTCCTCTGGGGTTGTGGCACCTGTTGTCCATGGGGATTTGTCCCCTGTTTTCCCTTGGGTTGTCCTACCACAGGATGTCCCTTACAGACTGGTTGTTCATGTGCTACTCTCACTAGATGGTCCAGTGGCACTGTGGCACCTTCTTGTTTCACCTGAGATTGAGATGGGTTGTTTGTTCTTGTCACTGTTACTTTGTGGGTATCTGTCACCGGCTGTATGAGGGTTGCTTTCACAGGTTGGACCTTCCATGGTATTTTGTATGAATCAGCTTTATTAGGCCCCTGCACATCATTTCCAGTGTTAACAGACTTCGCTGCACATCCACTTGTCCGGGATGATCGCTGAGGCTTCACA